ATTATTTTGATTCGTTTTTACGTTGTAAGGCTTCGCAATTACATTTGATTAGTTTCAATGAACCGTAAACCCCCTTCTACTAGCCCTACTCTATCGCGCACAACATATATATAAATCTAATATATATGTTAGACCTTAATTGAACACATCTTAGCAACAGCTGCCTATCAATATTGAATAAAATTTGTGCACTTAATTGAAGTGTTTGTTTCGTTGTTGCCATAATACCCTACTCCTCTTAACCCATGTTGACTTTGTCCTTGAGAAAACGTTCGACGCGTGGCCAAATCTCCTTAGTTTCGCGACCCTTGAAACTGGTTACCAGACCACGTTSAGCATACCAGGCCAGCACGGGACCCATTAGTTCATCGTAGAGTTKCAAACGYTTGGACACCACCTCCGGTTTGTCGTCCTCGCGTTGAGTCAGTGGCTCGCCAGTTATATCATCCTTGCCCGCCACCTTCGGATCGTTGAAGCCTATATTGTAGACACGTCCGGATGGGGCGTGTATCCAACGATGCTTGACACGCTCAATGATCACATCATGTGGAATGTCCAAGTTGATAACGGCATCAATTTGTTCACGTGCCGCCAAAATATCGGCTTGGGCACTATTACGGGGAAAGCCATCCAAAATGTAGGATTTGTTGCCCACCTCGGTGATGCGGGCGATCATTGTCTTGGTCATAATATCATCTGGTACCAGCTGACCGGAGGCAATGTACTGTTGCGCCTTCTTGCCCAGGTCGGTATTTTTGATGATATTCTGGCGCAGAATGTCCCCCGAGGAAATGTGGAGAAACCCGAACGTCTTCACAATACGATCCGAGATGGTGCCTTTTCCCGATCCGGGAGCGCCGATTATCACAGCACGAAATATTTTCGTATACATAATGAATAAATGATATTTTTATTGAATTTACGCTGAAAGACATATAAATAGAAAATTAGTTCATTTGCATGATTATTTGTCTATTTTGATAACGAGCTGAGAACTTTGAAATATTCTATTTTTTATTATAATTATTTCGATAGATCATATTAATAGGAAAAATCAATAAAAAGTTTTAAATTTTTAATTATTTTTTTATCAAGCGAGGTGCTAAAGAAATATTTCCTGTTCCCTTCTTACATTAATAGTATTTTAGTACATTAGCTGGCTTTCAGTATTAAATATAAATATAAGTTGGGACATTTGATAAGCCCTAACAATAATAACAAAAATAACAAATCATAAAAGTGCTAATCTTTATTTTTTGTCTCTCGTACCTATGGCCTTTTCSWGCCCATAAGCCTTCACATGACAACCATAGTGTAGCGCATTCACAACAACAACTACAAGCGTGGCTTTTTCAAGTTCTTTGTCTTCTCGTAGTTGTTGGTTTTATTGTGTCTCGCTATTCTTGTTGTTGTGGTGGGTGCGCTCTTATCGTTCAAAGTCCAAACAAAAGCCCATGTCGCCGCGTGTTGTTTTGCTCGGCATCTTAATTCTGTTTTCGCAATTTTCTTGCATTTCATAGTTTTGCTTTTCACATTCATTCGCATTTCGAATTGAACGCAAATTAAGCACTTATGTAAATAAGCAATGACAATTTTTTATTGCTTCCTTATTTTACTTACCCAAAATTCTTTTATAGTTAAATATA